CTACAAAAACAACATCAATAAACTCACAAATCACCACCTTAAATACATAATAGAGCAATGAGTAATGGTGATTTGAAGCCTACAAGTGATATTGCCAATAAATTAATAGAATATATAAAGAAATAATCTGCTAAAAAAATAAAGGGTTATAGATCAATATCTAATCCAGATATCATTGTAACTGATAGAAGATTAATATCAAAATATGCAGTGAAGTTTATTATAATAATAATTATTATAGAACTTAAGCTGGAATGTTGCATACAAAGTAAGAAAAAGTAAATTAAGATTCATATGCAATTCATGAAGGAATAGGAAATATAGATAATTCATATTTAATATAAGTTTCAGATGGACATGGAGTAAATGGACATGAAGTTGCTTAATTTGTTTAAGAACGATTACCAATTATTATTGATTAGTTATTAAAATCTCATAAAATTGGCAAAAATGATTAAGATATGATGATATAAGTGATTTTAAGATAAGCATTTGAAAGAACAACAAAAGAATTATATACTTCAGGAATTGATATTACATTTAGTGGAGCTACAACTGTATGTTTATTGATTATAGAACATATGGGATGGTGTGCAAATATTGGAGATTCAAGAGCAATTTTAGGAAGACAAAAAGATGGATTACATGTAGTTGAATTGTCTCATGATTAAAAACCAGATTTACCTAAAGAGGAAAAAAGAATTATATAAAATGGAGGAAGAGTTTAAGCATATTCAGATGAAGAAGGAAATCCTATTGGTCCAGCTAGAGTTTGGTTATTAGATGAAAATATTCCAGGATTGGCAATGTCTCGAAGTTTTGGAGATTATGTAGCTGCATAAGTAGGCGTAATCTCAATTCCAGAAATAATTAAACATACATTTTAAAATGACAAATTCTTAATCATGGCATCAGATGGAATTTGGGAGTATTATATTATTTATATTCAAGGTTTCTCGATAATAAATGGATTGTTGAAGTTGTCTATGGATACTATTTGAAAAATGATGCTGAAGGAGCTGTTGAAAGATTGGTTAAAGAAGCCACAGAAGCATGGTAAAAAGAAGATGAAGTTATAGATGATATCACTTGTATTGTTGCATTTTTGAATTGATTAACCATAAATATCTTAAGAATATATATTTCCACTTTTTAATACTTAATTTTAATAATTATATTATTTTAATGTCAGACAAACCAAATATCCCTGCACCTAATTCATTAGTCAAATATGCAAGTGCCACTTTGGTTTCTACGTCTGGAAAGCCTATTAAAGATAAAAAGAAAGGAAGAGATGCTGCTCCATAGTCAATTACTAATGCATAAACAGAGGATATATTGAATTCAATTCTTCCTCCAAGAGTATTTATTTTATGAACTAAATTAGGAATACACAATGGAAAAATAATAATTATGGATTCAATGTGTTTCATCTACTCCAGCCAAAAGAGTAAATCGAATTTATATTCAAAATAGGAAGATGTTATTCTTCTTTAAGAAAATTTAGATAAAAAATTATAATAGAGATAAGCTAGAGAGACTGGTATATGTCCTATTCGAGAGGAATTATATGCATAATGTTTTGATGAACTTATAAGACAAGTATTATATGTAAGTTACAATTAGATTACAATTAATTGTGCTGAAAGAGGTTTATTATTAGTTCGAGTCAGAGATGAAATTAGACAAACAATATAAGCTTATTAAACTTTGTATGAAAGTTCTATTGCTTTTGGAATGAGGAAAGCTTTATAAGCAGAANATTACCAATTATTATTGATTAGTTATTAAAATCTCATAAAATTGGCAAAAATGATTAAGATATGATGATATAAGTGATTTTAAGATAAGCATTTGAAAGAACAACAAAAGAATTATATACTTCAGGAATTGATATTACATTTAGTGGAGCTACAACTGTATGTTTATTGATTATAGAACATATGGGATGGTGTGCAAATATTGGAGATTCAAGAGCAATTTTAGGAAGACAAAAAGATGGATTACATGTAGTTGAATTGTCTCATGATTAAAAACCAGATTTACCTAAAGAGGAAAAAAGAATTATATAAAATGGAGGAAGAGTTTAAGCATATTCAGATGAAGAAGGAAATCCTATTGGTCCAGCTAGAGTTTGGTTATTAGATGAAAATATTCCAGGATTGGCAATGTCTCGAAGTTTTGGTGATTATGTAGCTGCATAAGTAGGCGTAATCTCAATTCCAGAAATAATTAAACATACATTTTAAAATGACAAATTCTTAATCATGGCATCAGATGGAATTTGGGAGTATTATATTATTTATATTCAAGGTTTCTCGATAATAAATGGATTGTTGAAGTTGTCTATGGATACTATTTGAAAAATGATGCTGAAGGAGCTGTTGAAAGATTGGTTAAAGAAGCCACAGAAGCATGGTAAAAAGAAGATGAAGTTATAGATGATATCACTTGTATTGTTGCATTTTTGAATTGATTAACCATAAATATCTTAAGAATATATATTTCCACTTTTTAATACTTAATTTTAATAATTATATTATTTTAATGTCAGACAAACCAAATATCCCTGCACCTAATTCATTGGTCAAATATGCAAGTGCCACTTTGGTTTCTACGTCTGGAAAGCCTATTAAAGATAAAAAGAAAGGAAGAGATGCTGCTCCATAGTCAATTACTAATGCATAAACAGAGGATATATTGAATTCAATTCTTCCTCCAAGAGTATTTATTTTATGAACTAAATTAGGAATACACAATGGAAAAATAATAATTATGGATTCAATGTGTTTCATCTACTCCAGCCAAAAGAGTAAATCGAATTTATATTCAAAATAGGAAGATGTTATTCTTCTTTAAGAAAATTTAGATAAAAAATTATAATAGAGATAAGCTAGAGAGACTGGTATATGTCCTATTCGAGAGGAATTATATGCATAATGTTTTGATGAACTTATAAGACAAGTATTATATGTAAGTTACAATTAGATTACAATTAATTGTGCTGAAAGAGGTTTATTATTAGTTCGAGTCAGAGATGAAATTAGACAAACAATATAAGCTTATTAAACTTTGTATGAAAGTTCTATTGCTTTTGGAATGAGGAAAGCTTTATAAGCAGAACAAAGAAAAGTAAAAATATTAATAAAATGATTAGACTGATTATAATAATAAAATAAAGTAATTAGAAACTGAATGTCAAGATTTATCAAAATAGGTTGAAAAAATAGAGAGTACAATTGAAGATATGCAAAGATAAGATTAAGAATAATAAGAACATGAAGAAGCTAAACATAGAGATTAAGTCAATTTCTTAAAAAATGCAAATAAAGTATACAAAGAAGAATTAGAGAAATTCCTTACAGGAGCTAATGTTAAAAAATGATTAATATAATATTACATTTGAAAAAAGTAAAAGTTTTTGTTTTAGATTATATAAATAAATTTAATTAGACAACGCAATGAACAAGTTATTTTAGATAGAAAAATAAGACTATCTATCTATATTTATTTTTTTTACTTTTTTGATTGAGTTTAAAAAGTTGAATAAAATTATATTATATTATAATTCAATTAAAGTAACTATTATAAAGTTAAGTATCCTATCATTATCTGAAGAAAATAAAGTAATTATAATTGATTTGAAATGTTCTATAAAAGCAAATGAAATTATTGAGATATAACTAATAATAATGATTAAATTAATATTGAAGAATTATTAAGATTACCATATTCAAATTACAAATATTCAATAATGGTAACATTTTTCATTAAGATTATATGTTTAACCTCTCATTTTATTTCATCTATGTAGTTATGTTCTTTGTTTTTATTTATCAAATTATATATTATATTTCGAACATTCTTTAAAGGTTATTTATTTGGTTCTTTTGATTAAAAATTAATATACATTTTATGGACTCTTAATACGAGGAGGGAGAAATAATGACACAGAAAAGCGATAAATTAGAACGTGTAAATAGTGAATCCTCTTTACGTTCTCTTGTAAATAATTAAATAAACATTTAGAGTGATACAAATGGTGATGAAAGGGTGCGTAAATCCTAATAAGAAGAGCTAAGTTCTTTTTCTTACGTTTGTGCCATCTTTAATTTCTTAGGCCATTGTACATAAGTTGGTTGCAAGTATTTCAATTCATATTCTTTAAGGAAAAGGCATATCTTATTATAAGATGGATTAGATCAATTCATTACTGAGAATATGCATTTGTTAAATTAATTGATCAGTAATGGAGAAAAGATTAGAGTTCCATATGAAAAGGTTCTAAATTAAGAAAATCACAATAAAAAACACTAGATAATCAAACCTAAAGTTATGACACATTACAATTAAGAACTCTGTGAAAAATATAAAGGAGCCTTAACTCATAAATTAATAAAAGATATTGATAAAATGTAAGATAAACTCAAAACCATTTGCTATCTTAAGAAATGGGTGAGACACAATTTCGTAGATGCAAGAGATTTTAGTGAATTGTATTATTCACTAAATTCTTCATAATAAATACATTTTATGAACTTTTTTAAAGTTCTTGAGTTATAACCACCCTCATTTCAATGATCATTATACATATTAAATTTGTTTCTGTGTATATGTACAATAATTATCCTATCATTAATTTAGTATATGCAAATCAAACAATGGAACTTTCGATTTAATTTTCTAAATAACCAAATTTTACATTTTCAATCTCAATCAAAATAAGAGTAAAAATAATCTTAATAGAATTTCATAATACTTATCTCTAACTTATTGATTGTACCAAAACATTATAAAAATATATTACTTATATTATTATATTCATTCTAAACTCTTAAGGGAATAAGACATAAAGAATAAATTCTTATATGTTATATTATGTTATAACCAATTACAATACTTCTTATTTAATTGTTCTTAAGAATCTCACTAATGAAAAAGAATAAACATCAAAATAAAACTAAAAATTTTGATTTTTTATAAAAGCTACAGTATTTTTGTTTCCCTTAAGAATGTTTAGACTCTTAAAACATAATTTTCAATTTAGTAAAATATTTTGAATTCTTCAATTATTTTAATATATCTTCATGATATATTGAATGAATATTTTAGGAATATATCTTCATTTATTCTAATTTTCTAATATATTATCACTATAATAAGAAAGCATGGATGTTTAGATGAATTGTTGTGATTGTTATTATGAAATAATTTAGAACTCTTATTAATATGATTAAAAGAGATTATTTGTCATTTCATTAAGTGTTTGAATAAAGAGTATAGTTTAAAAGTCATCAAAGAAGAATTGCTTAAGTAAGAGGTTCAAGCTATAATGACTCAGATTATTCAAAGTTAATTGATTAGATAACAGGATTTTAACAACGGATGAGATAAAGAAATCATTAAATTTAAGAATAACAAAGATAAGCAAAAAATGACTTAATGTCATAAAGGATAAGATCTATTCAGAAAACTGAACCAAAATTACAATTAAATGACCTAAAAATATTTAGTTCTAGGAAGTAGTTTTAGATGTAATTTGATCGGGAAGTATCAAAATAAAATAGTCGATTAAGAGAGCGAATAAAGTCAATGTATGTAATTAGGAAGTATATAAAGTGAGTCCCAAATAAATAGAAAATCTTTGAATTAAGATTTTGAGAAACATTAAATTACTTTAGAGAGAATGTAGAAGTTTAAAAGGAAAAATAATAGATGTGTATTAAAGTCGTTAGAGAGAATAGAAAATTGTGAATCATAATAGCAAAATAAACATTTTAAATGCTATACTCAAACAATAAAAACTGAGCCTGATCAAGAACCTAGTGCTTGGAGATCCAACACTAATAAAGTACTGAGTATTATAAACCTAATTGATTGATTTTCATTTATATGACAATCAAAAATATATATTTATAGATAATTTTTATTTTATTTATTAAAATTAATCAATATATTATGAATATTTGATACATTTGGATCTAATCTTAAAATTCATTCCAGAATCGATTTTAAGAAAGACAAAAAGTTTGAATGGATTAATTACTATATGTGGATAATTAGATCAAGTATATTTAAGAGTTGAAGTACAAATTAATATAAATATTACTATTTAATTATCATATATATGCATATTATCACAAAATAATACTAAAGATTTGTCATCTTCTACTTATCAAAAACTATATCTAACAAGATAAACTTTATTAAAACAGCTTAAATACTTTAGCTGTTTCTCTAAAGATTTGATTTCCAAAAAACATTCTATGTATTAAATATTAAATTTTATACAAATATTGATACTATTATTTAATATTATAATTCACTCGAAAAGCCTTTCTAAAAATGTCTTATCCTTATCTGGTTTAGCTTCTTTTTATGGTTATTATGGTTAAGTTGGAATCTGAATATTTATTATTAATTTACTTGCTAAGGTGGAGCTGTTTAAGCTAATTAACCAGGTTAAATTGGTGGTAAAGTCTTTCTATAAAGTGAATTTCCTTAAACTGGCAATCTTTGATAGTCTTTATAAATAGAAGATGGTAAACCAGTTGTTTGAGCTAATTATGATGGTAGAACTGTAGTAGTGGCCAAAGGGATTGAAGTTTAAGGTTAGATAATAGTTGTTGGAGGTTTATTCAATGTTCTAGTCTATGGAATAACACTAGTTGTCTAAGGTAAAACGTTGGTTGTCTATATTGTTTATGGGACTACACTTGTAGTTTGTATTGTTTATGGAATGGACTATAATTAAGTTGTTACAACTTAAGGCTGTTATTGAACATATGTAGAGGTGAATTGAGTTTATGGCATTATTGTGTTTTATACAACAGGCGATGCTGTCATTGTTGTAGTAATTGGAGGTTAAACAAAAGTACTTGTAATTTGTTATTAAATTGGAGGTTGTGGTGGCATCACTGTAGTTGTTTAAATTTAAGGAGCTTAATAAGTTGTAATTTAGGGCTACTATGTTATTGTCATATATTGTTATGGTTATTAAGTCTAATATTGTATTATTGAATTCTTACAACAATCTGTTATTGAACTCTTTAAGTTTGAATTGTTTATGATTATGCAAGAGTTTATGGTTATGCAAGAGTTTATGGTTGTAAAGCTGGTTAAGCCTTTAATTTATTATTGATATTCTTACAGGCAAAATATTTTATTTTTACACTGTGTAATATTCTGTTCTCTCTTATATTCTCTCAACTGGTACATATTCTAATTATTATGAATTAGTTATTACCAATTTACTTTTCTTAAATTACTTAAGGAATATATTCAACTTCATATTAAACTGCATAATAATCAGTGATTTATCGTGTTATTGGCACTTAAACTTGTCTTCTCACTTCCTCATATTCAGTAACTACTCTTTCATAAGGTATATATTCAATTCTAGATTCTCCTTTTATTGCTTATTCAGTCAATAGTTATGAACTTAATTATACTGGACCTGTCTAATAAGGAATTCCATTTTATCCTATGATCTAAGATTATGGCTATGTTAAAAATCCTTATTGCTATAAATGTGGAAGCTGTTGTGTTGGCAATCCGCTTATTGGTGCTCTTCCAACATTTTAAGGTGGAACCGTATATTAAGGTTAGCCTTGAGGTAAAACTTAAGTTGGTATTCCTTATTGAGGAATGAATTGATTCTAGTTTTGACCTTGGGGAAGATTTGATTAAGGTAAATTTGATTGAGGCTTTGATTTCTATCCTGGTTATGGAAGCTATGACATTTTTATTAATATCTTATTCTCTAATTATATTGTTTTATATATAAATTCTAATAAACTACAATTAAATTATTTCATCAATGAATATAGTTGATGTTTAATATTATTAAATATCACATAATATTCATATAAATTAAGTCATTCTCCAATTTATCAAAATCTATCAATTAGAAATAATTTTTTTGATTTATATTAAACTCAACATTTATTTCTAATATTATACTTGTAGATAATTTGTATCAGATAAGATCAAAGTATGATATAATTATAATTCATGAAAATTACTCAGTTATTTAAGTAACATCATTATTTTAGAGTTAAAATATAATTCAATTTATAATTAAAATGATTTACTGAAATTTTTTATTTAATTTACTACAATTGCTTAATAATTATCAATTAGAAAGAAGTAATTGTAATAAAAATTCAATATTTATCAGGATATAATGAAATGAAATTGAAATATATAAAGAATTAGAAATCTGATGTTATTTCAAATATAAATTACATTTTTATAAGAATGTGAAAAATTTAGTATTCATGTTTTTAGAATAGTTAAGTAATAAATAAATTAAGCTTTTTAGATTTATAAACTATTTTTTATATACTTTTGAAATGGTAAATATTAGGAATATATGAATTTTGAAAATGAAATATTTTATAGCCAAATATTTATTACTATTTATTTAGATATAGATTATTGTATTTTTTGTAATTAATAGTTTATCAATATTTAAATATTTGAAAATTCTGTTATAATTAATAAAATACTTTCTTACTCATTATTTATTTACTTTATATTTAGTATTTTAATAGAATCAAATAATATTTATATTTACCTTTCTTATTTAACAAATCTTTAACCCTCACTATTTCAATATATACAATTAATTTAGAATATCTTTGATTCTGTTAAAATTGAAGGCATTTGAAAATAAAACTTATGATGTAATAAGTTAGATCTATATTTTAAATAAGATAATGTAAAAAAAAAGAAATCATTTCTATTAATAATGTAATTACTTAAGCTAATCAAGGAATAGTGTGAATTGATTCTTTGCTAATTGATAATTTTAATTTATTAAAATTTTATAAATGAAGATATATTAAATTCTTACTTAATTATTAAAATATTTTATAATTGAGATTATTTTGATTTTAGAGGATAGTGTTTTATCTTTACGAGTCAAGTTATGTAAATATTATTAAATGAAGATATGTCTTAATCTTAATAGCAACAATTATATTTGTAATAATATATATCAAATCTGTTTGAGATAGGTAAAAATAAAGATAAAGTCTTGATTCTTCATAAGAGCTGTAGGCTAATTATTTTTTATTTTAAAGAACTTTTTAGCACTTTTAAGAGGTATATAATAAATGGCTCATATTTATCAGAGTTATATGTACAATATCGACCCAGCAATGAAGAGAAAAAAATAAACTAGAGTGAGAAGATAACTAGTAAATAAGACTTTGCATGAGGAAAGTGAAGAAAATTACTAGGTTGAAGTATAATAGAAAGTTACGAAAAAATATCAAAATTATATACATACCATTCAAAAAATGGGAGATTTTGATTGGACAGATGTTGAGAATACAAACAATCCCAAGGTTATTTATCCAAGTATGCAATATCTAATTTCAAGTACAATTTTTGCAAGCATCTACTTTACAATTTATGATTGGAGCTATGTATTTCAATTGTGATCATGACTATCTTGAACATAACCTTTAAGAAGTTAAAAAATTGCTCAAGAAAATTGAATAAACTAATGGAACTTAATAATAAGAGTATAATTATCGATTAATTAAGTGATTGTAAAAAATAGAAAAATAAAAAAGGGTATGATGTGAATGATGATATTTTCATTTTAGAAATGAGATAATTAAGAATTTAGGATTTAGACAATATCATTGTCAACTAAGAGTAGCATATATTTTTATATATTTAGATTAGAATTGGAAAAAATTTAGAAGGAAAATGAATAAGCTATAGAACACTTCTTAACAGTTGATATTCCAGAGCTTAAGCCCTCAATCAAAACAGATTAGTCTAATAGTCTTTTGAGAGATATTTTTGGATTAACAGAGTTTGAAAAATAATATATAGAAAAAATAGAACTTAAAATCTAAACAGATGGATAAAATATTATTACTTAAGAAACTGGTAAAAAAACTTAAGGAGGTGGAATTCATTTATAGCCAATTTTAGATGATGCTCTTTGTTAAGTTTGTAATGATGGAGATTATACAGATGATAATTTAATAGTATTCTGTTCTAAATGCAATATATCTGTCCATTAAAAATGTTATTTAATAGAAGTAATACCAAATGAAGATTGGATATGTGATGTATGTTAGACTTTTGGACCAAATGGATAATATTTACGTTGTGCTTTATGTCCTAAATTAGGTGGAGCTATGAAGGCAACTTCAATTGATGCTTCTTGTTTTGAAAATTTAAATTAAACCTATTTTGAATCTTAAGGTGAAACTATGATGAAAAATGATTTAGTTTCTAAATTATGTAAATATATTAATAATATAAATAGTTTAATAAATAGATGATGATTAAGAACTTTATTATGATTTTAGTAAATTACCTAATAGAGATATAAGAGATCTTGAAAATAATAAAGATATTAAAGAACCATAACCATAAAAGGTTTGGATTCATTTGTCATGTTTTTATTGGTCTCCTGAATGTTTTCTAGATGATAAATAAGACATATTAAGAGGTGTTGATAACATTAATCAAAAAAGATTTACTCTTAATTGTAGTTTGTGTAATATCAAAAAGGCTGGAATGTGTATTTAATGTGCTAGAGGCAGTTGTTAAACAGGATTTCATGTTGAATGTGCAAGAAGATCAGGAATATTTTTAACTTAAACTATTGTTAATACAAAACCTGATTATTAAATATTTTGTTAAAAACATGTTCCACTTAAAGTTAAACGAATTTTAGAATCTAAATAGAGATTATATGAAAGAGAGATTATTGATTTCTTTAGAGCTTATGAAAAATGCAAATCTGTACATAAAAAGTCTTAATAAAGAGTTAAAAAACCAAAATCATCCAAATAAGCTTAATAATAGTAAGAACTTTAAGATCATTAAGAGAATGAATTTGATTTAATAGATTTTGCAATAAAATTAAAAGAATTTATTGATTAACTTTTAGATTAAAAATTTATAGTAAATTTGAGATTTGAACAAGGAAAATATGTATTTGAATCTCTATCAGAACCATAATTGAAATAATAAAAATAATATTACTTAACTAAACTACCAGAAGTATATTAAAGTAAGGTAGATTAAAATGGATAAATAATTACATAATTTTATAAAAGTACTATCACTGCAACTGATGAATTATGGAAATTCTTTAAATATAGAGATTTTGAAAAAGATATCATTTATAAAATGTATGAAAAGTTAAGAAGAAGAGCTAGTAAATTCATGCAAGAATTAAATCCTGAAAAAAAGCAAGCTAAATTGATAGACATGTTGATGTTAAAGAAATTTAAAAAAAACAAAAAAGCTGATTAAAAAAAACAAATAATAATTGAATTAGTAGGAGATGAATATTTTTAAAGAGATGAAAATTTATATTGTGTTTGTAGAGGTAAATTTAAAGATGGAGATCCTATGATTTGTTGTGAATCTTGTGAAGAATGGTTTCATTTTGATTGTCTAGAAATAATAATATCTTATGAAGAATTAAGTAAAATAAATTTCTATTGTTTTCTTTGCATAGATGATTTACCTAATGAAAAATAAGTAGATATATATAACAGTTATAAAAATGTATTTAAAGATACTTCATTTAAACTATAAAGAGAATTAGCAGATAAATGTGCATTAAATGAATCTCGAAAAGTTAGAATGAATGAATAGAGGTAGACTAAATTAATTGAAGAAAATAATACAATAGAGCAAGATAATCAATAATAAGAATAGATTTAGGTTGAATAACATAATTATAATAAATAAAATTTTGGATCTTTAGAAGTATCTAATTTGTTTGTTAATAATTAATTGTAAAAGGATATGAATTCTGTAGAAAATAATGAAATTTAAATAGAAATACAAAATGACGGAACAGAAAAAAATAAAAAAGGGGATGAACATGTTAAGACTCCTAGTAAAACTGAATCTGTTGAGGATCCGGAGAATAAATTAGAAGTACCAGAAACTCAAGAAAAACTAAATAGCAAGCTTAAATAAAAATCTATATGTAACTATATACCTAAATAGTGATTCTAATATATTTCACATTATTATCAAATAAAAATGTCTCTAATTTTAATTTTTTATATTAACTATATTATATTCTTTAATTTGGTAAAAATAAAAAAAAATATTAAAATTCTTAATTTAATTAAATCAAAAAAAAAAGGAAGGTACGGTTACTATTATGTGAAATTCAATAATTTAAACATAGGTAAAACACATTCTTATTATTGATAATTAATTAAAATAAAGAAGCCTTATATTTTTTAATACAATACCATTTGAAAAAAGTCACGAAACATTTTGATATAACAAATTAATATAAAAATTCATTCTATGATTAAAAGAAGTGTTTTATATGTCAAATTTGTAAATATCATTATGAAAAAGTCATTTTTTAATTTGCTTTCTTTTTTTGAAATTAACATCATCTATAACTATTTTTTCTATTTTTTATGATTATTTATGGTTTTTCTTTAGTAACAATGTTTAAATAATTATTATACATAGCAAAATGGTATGAATTATAGTTGGAATAGTAATAATAATAATATGGGGTATAAAAATTATATCCGTTTTTGAATTAGTGATAATGTTTTTGTGTATTTAAAGGCAAGGATCGATTGGAAAATAAACATAAATATATTTAATGAAAGTTGCTATCACATTATTGGTTGTATTAGCTCTCGCTAACGCTGGTATGGTGCAAAAATTCCCACTCACATATGGTGGAAAGAGAAGCATCATGAATATCATGGTTGAAGTTGAAAACAAGATCAAAGCCCACTCACCACTTGACACAATCAAGGGAGTTCTTGATAACTTCAAATCTGCAGTCGCTTAAGAATAAGGAACACACGATGAAGTCTATGGAGCTTAAAAGGCTGAATGCGAAAGCGAAATTGCTTACAGAAGAGCTGAAGTCGAAGATGCTACTGGTACACTCAAAATTGCCAACGGTATCTTGAAGACCGCAAACATCTTATTAAAGAAGACCTAAGCCACACTCGGTGAAACTGAAAACATCTTGAACACCGTCTCACAACACATTGGTCTCATCAATGATGCCAGAAAAGAAGATACTTAATCATACAACAGAGGTGCAGTCACATTCAACGATGCCATCAACGCCATCGATGACTCCCTTGATTTGGCCGCCGCTTTAGCTAAAGGAGGAGCCAGTTTGATCTAAGTTGCTGAAATGACAACCAAATTGATGAAGGCTTCAGTTGCCACCAAGATGAACAAAGCTTTCATGGCCCCATTGGCTGCTTTATCTTAAATCACATAAGAAGAAGACTCAGTAGGTGCTGCTGAAAGACTTGCTTAATTATTGTAAACCTTGAGAACCAACGTTGAAGAAGCTTGGGCCTCATACACTGCTGAAAACACCAACGCTTTGGCTCTTTTCACCTAATAAAAGGATTTATATCTTGCTTCATAAGTCAGACTTGACGAATCAAAGGGAAGATTAAGCAGCAAGGCTGAAAACTTATAAGGAGTCATCTCTGTCTAAACCGCAGTTGCTTAAGCCGCCACCAACAAGAGATAAAGAAACTAAACCTTATGGGATGATGCTGCTGATTTGTGCCACAGCTTCGATGTTGAATATGAAGCCGTCACTGCAGGAAGAAGATAAGAATTAGTTTTGGTCTAAGAATTAGAAAGATTAGCTGAAAGAAGAGCTGCTGAATAATAATGAGATATAATCCAATCCATTATTTTATTCATTCTTTTTCAAATTCTTTTTTTCTTCTTCATTGTATTTATTTGTTGTTCTAATTAATTGTTCTTTTTTTTTGTGTTGACCAGAATTCTTGATCTCATCAAATGTTGATAAATAGTCATAGATTCAAAGTAATAATTAATTAAATTAATTATATTAAAAGATTTTCTAATTTCTGTATTAATTTATTATATTTATTATTATTAATATATAGATCAATCGCTACTACCAAAACATCTATGCATAGCAAATCCTCCGCATGCAATAACCATAATTATGTAAATAGCCAATAATCCTACCAATACTAGAATAATTGTCATTTTTTTGTTTCTCCACCACATTTATCTTCTTAAAGTTGTAGCATTCTCTTTCATGCTTGTTGAAATGCTAAAGCTATTAAATTTTTTACTTAACCATTACATTTGTTTTTTCTACAAGAATGTCTATTTTCTCACCTCTTTCTAATAATTTGTCTAGATTTTCCATCATTACTTCTTTAGTTTGCTAAATGTTATCAGAAACCAATCTTAATTTATCTGCCTAGGGAGAATTATAATATTCAATTTTGTTTTTTTATTCCTTTCATAGGTTGAAATATATTCTTACAATAGAAAATTAGGAATTTAACCCATAGGATATAGCTTAATCTCTTTATTATGGCTGAAACATTTAGAAAAATTTCTATTTCATATCCTCCAAACAAGCAAATGCAATTCTCATCTTTAATCCTCTTTCAGCCATTATCAAAAAAGAAAATCCATCTTCTACCAAAATATGAAACTCATATTATTCATAATTAAATGATTTCTTAGCATTTTATTAGTTAACCTTTAATATATAATATCACTTTACTTTTGAAATAATTGTTTTAGCAAATGCAATATAGTTACCCTTAGCTATTGAATATTCTGACAAGACAACATTTGAACCTCTTACAACAACGGCATATATAATCTAGGGATTTGATGATTGCATTAATTATACAATAATATATATATTAATGCGTCAATATATAATTATACATTTTTTATAGGGAATCTATAAGTATTTATAATTTTTAAAACATTTCATATATAGTAATTATATTTAAATCCATATCATATAATCTTTCCTCTCTCTCTAAATAAGATATTCCTTTAATACCACTTTTTTCATAATCCTTTAATTAGCAAAAAAATAATAATTATAAACTCATAAACATATTACTAAAATTGCCATATTCTCAAAAAGAACTGGAATAAATTTATATATAAAAGTTCTAAACATTTTAATTTAATATATAAAAGTTAACTATTACTCTATATTTTTTTATTTTCCTTTATAAAAAAATTATGAAACTAAAAGAAAATAAATTAATCTTATTGAATAGGCAAATAAAGCAAGTTGTCTTAATTTAGTGAATTATAAAATCAAGTATAGACTATATAAAAATAATAAGATTTTTTTTAATTTACAATTCCATGATTATCCAAATCTATTTATTTTTATATAGTCTATACTTGATAGTGATTTGAATGTTTATTTTATGATTTTGGTATAGATTAAAGTAATGCTAGAGAAATAATTAAAATTAGAAATATTTAATAATTGAAATGATAATCTTATTGCTGATTTAAACATGCTACAGTTCTAGTTTATTTGACATATAAACTAATAACAACATTACAGATCTATTCACTAAATGTAAAATTCAAGGAGAGAATTCAGACAATCTATTATTTCAATGTTCATAAATGAATGCCATAATTTCTAAATCACAATTTAATGATGAGTTTATCTATGCATATTCCTTTAATAAAACAGAGGATGTATAACTAAGCAATATGCTTCTTAGTGAATTGCTTATAGATCCAGAAACTTTATCCTATCAAATTAGATTATAAGTTTTATATCATTCATACTATGGAGATTTGTTGTAGATGATTTCATCTCTTTCAATTAATAAATATTCATTTTATAATTATTAAGCAACTGTAATAGATGGAACTTTGAATATGATTGGACTTTTAGGTAATTATATTGATTCTAAATTTAGTGAGCCATGTAAATGAATAGTATTTTACATGTTATTTTATACCAATCCATCCAAGTAGAGTCAATTCATTTCCATTAAAAGCACTCAACTTTACTTGTGATACTATTTGTGATATCAAAGGATTTTCACAATATTATAATAAACAAAGAAATAGTCTAATTATAGTAATTGCAGAATAGAATATTTTAAATTTATTAGAGTATTCATTTTTAGATTGGCAAATGAGATATGTTTCAAAATATTAAATATCAAAATTAATTGATTTAGATGAGACAATTTTTAAAATAAAATTATATGAAGATTATTTACTAGTTGAATTAAAAACTTGTTAAGCATTATTTTAAATCTCATCAATTATTTTTGAAGTCAAACTCTTAAAAATATTTTCAAAATCCCCTTTATATATTGATCATAATACTAATTTAATATTTTAGAAAATTAATCATTAAACTCAGATTTTTTCTATAGAAAATAACACAAATTGGTTCACTTAAAAATAAGTTATTTTATTAAAGATCTTAGATACTCCATTTACTGATTCCATAATTGTTTTAAATTAGAGTTAATTCATTTTTATTTATGATAACATGGAAATATTAACATTATAAATAGATATATAATAGAATAATATTAAGTCAGAAGAAGATTGTATAAATAAATTTACATAGTTTCCATATCCTGATTATTAATCTTTAAAATATTAACTAGAATTATTAGGAGAAAATTTAGAGTAAAATTCTACTAAAATTGCACCTCTTGAAGAATTATAAAATTATAAATCTTGTCTTATCCCTTGCAATCTTTTATATTATAATTATGAAATCTCTTTGATTCCATATGAATAATAATGTATAAGTTCTGAATTATTATAATAATTTACTGATTATTGCAGTTTCTAAAGCAGTTGCTTATAATGTAATAATTATATAGGTTGTAATTGGGAAAACAATTCTTGTCACAAAGAAACTTAAATGTATGAAATTGATTTATCCTCAAATGAGTAAAGTTCTAAATGGTATTATGGTAAGATATGGAAATGTGAGGAAATGCAATCATAATCCTCTGAAGTCTTTTGTGGTTATAATTAAACTGAATTTTCATAAAAAAAAGAGTTTAATTATTAAGGTTAAATAAGAAAAGGATAAATTTGTTCGTGGTTTTTTGATGCTGAAGAAATTTAATAATTTAATCTATTTTTCAAGGCTGATCTTATGAATATATCTTCTTATATTTAGATATCAATTTGTTTAGGTTTAAATAAAAATGATATTTGCACACAAATGAATTTTGAACCATGGGATTTCAATAAAACTACACTATATCCATTCAAAGGATATTATTTTAGATACACTATAATATTTGTTGAAGATAATTTAGCTAATAATATTTCTTTCACTTTTTATAATTCTCCTCCAATTACATTTTCTGACCGACTCAAATCATCGTTTCTATAAATGTTGGTTTGGCTCTTATGTGGAATATTACTATTTTGTATTATGGGTTACATGGCTAAAAGAAGACTATAATATTTGGTAACTTAAACAATGGAAAATGAACTAATTTAAGTAATTGTTTTTAGTATTCATTTTAGATGGCTCCTTATTTATAAAATTAGGTTCCTTTATCTGATAGCAGATTGAAAACTGTAATATAGAATTTAATTGATTAAGATATTATAACAAAATATCCATCTGATCCTTCATTATTATTATATGGAGAGGACTAGTGTACATTCTGTTTTGATTAATTTGATGTTTCCTAATTTGTTGCTTAATTATTTTGTGGACATGTTTATCATTATAATTGTTTTGAGGATTGGATTAGAATTAAAGGGTTTTTTGATAAATGTCCAATTTGCAATTAGAAAGCAGATTATTTTTTAGCCAACAGAGAAGAATATGCTATTATTAAATCACAAATTTTGGGCAGAATAAATGAGTCGGATAATCATTCTACTCATTTAATTAAATGACACTATTTAATATTAATTAAATTATCATGTAACGAAGTAGCAATAACCCAATTTTTCTATCTCCAGATCAATTTGCCACTCTCTTTAATCAAGGAATTAGAGAATCAACATATTTAGATGAAATGTAGGATTAAAGAGAACTTAGCTTTTCAGCCCCAAAATTAGATGAAATGAATTAATCAAACCAACTTAATTAGTCTAGTAATTTTTTACCAGATTTTCCAAAGGATGATATTGTTATAAGTACTATTCAATAAAGTATAAGTTCAGTATCAAGACAATTATATGAATAATCATAACACATTGAATTACATAATAAACAGTTGAGTGAATCATATTAAAGAATATTAAAATAGAACAAAGAGTTATTGAACAAAAGAAAAGAATTAGAAGAAGAGAACTCAGCTCTTCTAGAAGAAAACTTTGAACTAAAGCGATAAGCTCATGATCTTTAATAAAAATTGACCATAGCTCAAAGTTAGATGTTAATCAAAAGAGATTAAGAAATAAAAACCTTAAAATAACAAATTAAAGAATTGTAAAGTTAATCAACTTCTAGAGATTCAGCTACCAAGACTGAAGGTAGTACTGCTACTTCTCAAAAATCATATTTTGGATCAAATACTCATAGAGTTCAATCTAATGAATAATCTAAAAATCCATCTAGATTTACATCTCCTGTTCCAAAACAATAAACTTCAGAATTCTCAGTTTTCAATTAATATAATTCGAATACTGTCTTCGGAAAATAACCCTAATTATGAATTACATCTAAATGTATATATTATCTGTTTGAATATTTTCTCAATTACTATTTATAAATCACCATATTATCATTATTTAATAAAAATATATTGTTGATTATAAAATATTTATAATATTACAATAGATTGAAAAAGTATAAAAAATTAGAAATAACACTTGAATTCCATGATTCCATGTATGATTAAGTAATATAGATAACTCTAAATGTTATTATAAAATTATTGTAATGTTATATTTATTTTAACAATCAAAAATAAAAAGAAAACAAATTAAGTTAGAGATAAGTTATAAATTACAAATTTATGAATAAAAATGAAAATCAATCAATTAAAGATAACAAAATTAGAGAATTCAATATTTAAAATCTAAATTTTTGAAGATTAATAATTAATAATAAAAAAGATTTTCCATTATTAATATACACTTAATACATTATGGTTAACATTTTGATATTTTGAATACAACATTAATCACAATATATCATAGGCATTTTTACTAGATTAAATCCTTATATTGTTTTGTTCCAGGTAAATTTTCATCCATTATTAATCTAAAAAGATTATCATCTTTTAATTTTATTCCTTAATCGAGTTTATCCTTATATGCTTCATTTATTTCCTCTATTATTTTAGGTGTAATAACTTAATCGAGAGATCTTCTGTCTTTTTTCATTTTAGCTAATATTTTAATAATAATCTTCTTAAATCTCAAATACTTGCTCCTAAGATATGCATTTTAAATATCAATCATATCCTATGTCATTTTAATATGTTATTTTTCTCTTGCCAATGTAGTCTTTAATGTTTAAGGGTTATAATTAATTTCCATAATATGAATTTTCAGATCATCTGTCATAATAAAATCAGCAGCAAAGAACTCTGCTAATCTACTGTCTCTTATTATTTATCCTTCCACTGATTTAATAGCATGTATTATCATTCTATCAACTGTAGGATAAAGATAATTTTGTAGCCAATTCTTATCTTTTATTTTTCCTTATTTTAACAACAAATTTTGTAAATAATCTAATTTCCAATCTATAAATAATTCAGATTCATCAGCATTTTCATCATCCATATCCAAATCTGATCCTCTCTATTTAAGAGTACTCTTAACAATTGCTGTATTACAAACATGAGCCTCCTTATTCAAAGAGAATTTATCAAAAGGAGCTATACATCTTCTTATTAAAGTTTTATCATATGCATAGGCTATTATTGGATAAGTAGAAGCCAAAACCCAATATATTCTAAATTCAATTTTATGATTATTATAAAGCATTGGATTTCCAATATATTATTGTGCTACTAATAGAGAGTGATCTACTCCACATCTCTTACCATTTCTATAAGTTTCCTACAATTTTTTAGTTTCTTCTGGAAATAAAACTTTGATTCCTCTGCCTCTATGAACTTCTAAACCTACTTTTGTTATAAATTAGGGTCCCTCTTCGGCTATTTTATCTTAATATTCATTAGAATTCAAATAATCGAAAAATTCCTTGCAATCTTATTTCTAAAATAAACGATAGGTTTTTGGGATGAAGGTTGCATTATTTATACACTCTTAATCAACACCTTTCTCTCTTAAAGAATCTATGTATTTATATTAATTATTCATAAGGTTGTCTTTATGAGAAAGAACGTGTCTTGATGGTAAATGGTTATATTTTTAGAACAAGCAAAGAGAAGCTAATAATTTATTATATTATTTATACCTTATCCAACTTTAAATTTATGTATCAATTAATCATAGTAAGTGAATGGTAAAGTTAATTGTTCTGGCAATACATATTTTGAGAAAGCTAACCATATTTTAGTATATATGATTACATTGAGTATTTTGTAATTTATGGTACATTTTTGGAATACAATCATAATAAGATGATCTCAATGCTTCTTTAATAACTCCTTTTGCTTCACGAAAAGTATATGTGTCTGTCATAATTACATCAGGGTGGTAAAATTTGTATAAGTCCGATCTTTTACAATAATCGAATTCTGGTTTCACTAAAATTGAATTATACTAAGAATTTATAATAAAATTGATACTGCAGAATGATTGGCTGGAGGAGCATAATAAGTTGTTGTTAAGTATTTGTTAAGGTATGTTAATATTTGGTCGACTTCTTATTTATTTTTATACACAAGCGAAATCCTTATAAAATTGTAAATAAGAAGATGACTTAATATTGAAATGATTAAGACAATCACTTTACCAAACATTTTAATTTTAATTATATTCGTTTTTAATCAATAAAATTTATTAATTCTAATTATTCTTTATATTCTATTTTTATACATCATTGTAAGACTTAATTATGAATAGTTCATTTTATCATATTAATTAAATTAATAATTTCACCAACCATATATTTTAGCAGATTTTACTTAAGATTTTTTTGGAAAATTTGATATTCACTTTTAAATCAATACAATATTTCAATTAATAAATTCATTATTTTATATAAATATATTAGTAAAAATACTAATATTAAATATAATCTGATTTAATCTAATTTTAATATCATTATTTACTATAAAATTATTAATAAATGTATAATTTTTGATATATATTCATTTTCTATAGAAGAATTTTATCAAAATTTGATAAAAGGGTTTTTTAGATTTAAAATATTGAATTATATTATGATAAATAATAAATCTATAATAAAATTGTATCATCATATCAGACAAGATAAGATTAAGGAAATTCGTTTATAAATGAATATTTATTTCAATATTCTAAATAATAATATAATTACATTTCTATTTATATATTTTAATTAAATTCTAAAACATTTCATAAATGACTATTAATTAAAGAATTAGATTTTTTAAGTTATCAAAATAACAAAAATTGAATATTTTGAGATAATATAAATCAGTGATATAAAAATAAATAATTAGTTTTAGCAAATAATTCTCTTTATGTCTTATCCTATGTAGCAAATACTTGTAATAATTTTTCTTCAATATCATGAATGTTGATTGAATCTACAAGTGATATTATTTCTTATGAAAAATGTGAGATTGTTTATGAATTCAGCTTCTTTTATTATTTAGAACATAGAAATTTTGGTTATGGAAAAGGTTTTTATTTAGGTATTTCACTCATAGATGGTCTAATAAAAACTGTTTTTTATTGTACTTTTTCTAATATATTGCTATTTTTTGAATTTTAAGATCTTTATCTATTAAATAAGGCTTCTTCAATTTTTAATTATTCTAATAATCCTCTTCTTTTAATTTCAATAATATTTTATGTTTTTTTGGAGCAAGCTTTCTCTAAACTTTCTTCTAATCTTCTTAGTCTTTGTAAATCCTGCTATTTTTTCTCCTCTTAAGATCTTTAATAACGAGCCAATGTTTCATCCATTCTACTACTTCTAGGTATTAAATATTAAGCTTATTTATGAAGCTCCCATTTTTGTAGTTTAGCATCATAACTCATTCTTCTCCTAACGTGTTTATCTGTTATAAATTTTTCTATCATATTTCTATTTCTTTAAACTTATTCTAGTCGAGAAGTATCTAAAACTTCTTTTTATTATGCACGTAATTCTCTTTCACTATTTATTTGTTTCCTTCTTGTTTCAATTAATTATTCTTTTTATGAATATTACATTAATTATTATTCTCTATAATCTTGTTAAAACTTCTTCATTTTTAATAATTTATCATTTATCCTTGATGTTGTAGAGTCTTCGTATTTTTCTTCAGGTGGTTAAGATTTTGGATGAATTTAAGTTTCTTCTGATTTTTTATTAAGCAAATCATTATATTCAATTAATAATCTTTATCTTCTTTTTTCATATTGTTTCATGATTGTTTCTTAATAGAATTGAGAATCATTTTCATATTCTGGTGGAATTTTTATTTTTTTGAGAGGTAATAGATCTTGTTCTGTAATACCCATTTTTCTTAATATTTGTTAATTCATTAATAATTATGTAACATACGATTAACAATTTCAATTTTTGCTTATTTTGTAATATGATTTTATTCTTCAGCCCATTCCATAGTCTTTAGAAATCTGTTCTCCCAAGTCAATTCATAATTGGTTAAAACTTGTACCTTATCAATTAAAGTGATATCAATAATAGATGGTCCAATAGAGAGTGGTTCACCATCAATCTAAATATAAGAATTTGAAGGATATATAATTTAAATCTTTCTACCTTAACCAAGTTGATATGGTTTATCTAATCCAACTTGAATTCTACCTAAATGTAATATACTTGTAACTCCAATTATTTCTAATAATCCATCATTAATTTTTTATTATTTAAAATTTCCATCCTATTCCCATAATCCAGTTACTCCTCCACTCCAAGAATTGATATTTAATATAATAACATTTTCAACCTAATCTGGTATATCTACTACTACATCATCACAAATAACTTTTATCCTCTTTCCTAAACCACTCTTTTCGTTTTTAATTAAATCATTTAAACCCATCTATGTGTAAATCAATTTATTTCCTAATCTACTTTTAAATAATTAAGGTGATGTTTATCTTAAATTATGAAAATCATAACAAAACTTTGCATCTAATCCTATTCCAAAATAATTAAATAATTTATAATTCTTATTCCCTATTTTCACATTCCATCTATCCAATAATGTAATATTCTCATTGTTAATTACTTTTGATAATACATGAGATGCATCTAATTATTCATATGTACCACCCTTAATTTATAATATTATTATATAATTACCCATCCTAATGCTCTACTCAAATCATTCCCTGTTCCTAATGGAAGAATGGCTATTGGAGGATTCCAATCAAATTCCTTAATATAATTTATCACACTAGCAACTGTACCATCTCCTCCTGCTGTGATTAATCTAGCAGTCTTTATATGTGCAAATTTCTTTAACTTATCCATTTCTTATATATTTAACACTTAAATAGGATTCAAAAATCTAAATATAAATTCTATATACCTAAGAAAAGATTTATAAAAATCCACACCAACTTATCCACCTGACTTCTAATTGATAACAACAATTATTGGTTTAGTGTAATTTCCATCTGGTAATATTATAGCATCTTTAAATTCCCCAAAATCACATAATTAATTTACTTTATCTTTACATTCTTCATGTACAACCTTTTAACACCAAAGACAACTTTTCCCTTCCAAATCAAAAAAATATCCACATGTTAATCCACAATGACAACATATTGAATTCACAGGAAGATTTCCACTTAGCCATTGATGACTAGGCTAACTCTATGTTGATTTTATAAATTTGCATTATATTTGATTTCTTCTACATTTTTTATGTACATAAATTCCACATATCAAACATTCATGATATTATGGACCCCATAAACTAAACAGCAACTTTTTACAAACATTACAAAATAATAATCCACTACTTTTTGATTCAATATAAGAATGCTCTAATGATTCATTCTCATTTCCTTCTGTTTTCTCCTTTTTTATCTTTGATTTAATCTTTTACTTTAATGGTTTAGAACTTAAGAAAAAGGTTATAGCAAGTGTTAAAATCAACCCTAAGATTATATAAATCATTTAAATAATAATGAATTTTACTTATAATTAAAAATAAAAAACTCAATCATTTGGTCTTTTTATGTAAAAAAATGTCAATTTTTGTTATTGAAATAATTATAATACGTAAAACTACATCATTAATTAATATCACATAATACATAAAGAATAGACTTATAAATAACAATTATTTTAATGGGAAAAAAGACTGTGTTGATTCTTACTTTTATTAGTTATGCTTAAATGCATGCAGCTAGAACTCTATGGTCATACATGCAAAAATATTTAACTATTGAAGACTACAATAAAAATAAAATGGGTTAAGCATATTTGACATTCTTATTAACATATGGTATAGGTATGAATACAATTGGTCCAATGTGTTGTAAAAACAGTTTGAAACATTCTATAGGAATTAGTTGTATGGCAGTAGGCATGTTGTTTGCAATCCTTGGAATCTTGTAGGAGTTTCAACTCTTAACTTTGTATGATTTAAATTTTAATGAATAGTCCATTGGTAATAATATTGATGGCTATAAATGGGTTAATACAATCTGCATGCTATCCTGCATGTGTAAATGTATTGGGAAATTGGTTTAAAAATCATAAGGTAGGTTTAATGATGGGTTTATGGTCAGGATGTGTTAATGCGGGTGATATTTATGGATTAATAATTGGTGATGTTGTCATTTAAAGACTTGAGATGCCCGTTTATTGGGGCTTCTACTTTATGTCTGGCTGTCTAATTGTCGCTAGTGTAGCAACATTATCTTTCTTATAGAGTGAACCAAGAAATCAAATTTAAGGTATCAACGAATCAGAATCTGCTCCTCTAATATTAAAATAGAAAAATAAAAATTTAAATATTCTATCAGCATGGTTGGTTCCTGGAGTTGCCATATATGCAGTTGGCTATGCTTGCCTTAAAGGAACTTTTTATGGATTTTTAGATTGGTTACCCTTCTATTTTTAACAAAAGGGAGAGAAACTTGAAAATCATTCTTCATATATTTCATAAATGTTTGATGTTGGTTGTTATGTTGGAGGAATATTCTTAGGATATTTGGGTGATAAATATAAACGACGTGCTTGTTATTTTGTACCAAGTTTATTATTGGCTATGTGTTCTATGTTAGTGATTAGATTTTGCTTAGATTTAATAGTTTGGCCCTACTATCTTTGTATTTTGGCTATAGGGATATTTTAGGGTGGACCATATAATAATATATCAGGTGTGATCTCAATTGAACTTACTAAATAGTTTGAAAATGATAAAGCAGCTATATCTACAGTTTCATCTTTAATTGAAAGCACTGGAACTTTGACAGCTGCAATGTTTTAGGTCATCATTCCAAGGATTGGTGATGAACATCTATTTACATTTTTATGTCTCATAACATTATTAGCTGAATTAGTTTGTTGTGTTCTCTTATTCAGAGAAATAAAAACTAAAAAAAGATCCAAATGATCATATTGATTTATTTTAATTTAAATTTATACAATATCATTAATCTTATTATGCAGCAAGGGCTGCTTCTTTAGCTTTCTCTTCTTCTTCTTGTAATCTCTTTTATTCTACTTCTCTGTCATATTTATCTTTTGCAAATGAAAATGCTTTTTCCTTAAGTTGCTTTGTCACAAAGATATTGTTTATTTTTTCTAATCTTACCATAATATTGATTGTATCTAATAGATAATTAGGACTTTTAGACTCAAAAGGATTTCCTTTGTATAGCAACTTTTTTAAATTTGGTAAAGTTTGTAACTTGGTGATTTCATCAAATTTATCAATTTTGTTTTCTCTAATATCAAAATGAACAATATTCTCCAAGACTGGAAATGTTTCATCAAACCCTTCAATCTAGATTAGCCTTAAGTATATACTAAGTTTTTTCTTAATTGCAATATTTAAATAGAAGTTAGTAATTCAATTCCCTAAATGGCTTTGATTTTATTCTCACTTAATTTTAGTTCTTTCAATTCAGGTAGATTTTAAAACTAGGTTAAAGCAGCAATTTTATTTCTTTTTAAGTATAATTGCCTTAATTTAGGGTTACCGTCAAAAGTATCCATTTTTTCAATTTTATTATCATTAAGATTAAGTTATATTAATGGAACTTTGATAGGTCCTAATTCAACTAATTTATTTGATGCAGCATTGAGATATTTAAGAGATTTGTAAGCCTCCTCATTAGCAAGTGATTTCAAATCCTTAATATTATTGCCTTCTACATTCAATCTAATCAAGTATGGCAGTTATGAAACTAAATAGTAAAAATAATACGTTGCACAATTTCAGTGATGTTATTCCCACTTAAATCTATTGATTCAATATATTTGTAATTTTGAAAGGTTTGGGTCAAAGCATCTATATTCTTTTGATTTATATTTAAGATTGTAAAATGATAACCACTATTATCCTACACCATCTTAAAACCTGATAGATTATTCATAATGAGTTCCTCAAAATTAATTTTGGATTTAGATTCCTCTTATTATTTTGGTTGTTTCTTGGCCTCTTTCTTAGACATATTAAATTAATATTAATATTATGTTTTATAAATCAAAACAATCTCTATTTAGCTTCATCCCCATCTCCTACTAATCCTTTTTATTATGCAAATTGATAATGTAAATCAACTACATCTATTCCATCATGTACTTTAGTCCAACCATTCTAATGAATGTGATAAACTAAATTAATCTACAATTCCTACCTCTAACTACACCACCTGAAGCAGTGTCTCTGTGTGTTGCATGATAAATTGCTCTGATTCCTAATTCTACAGCTTCATTCAATGACATTTCATATCTATAATGATTATCCAATACACCATAAGCATAAGTACTACCACTACCAACTGAGAAAATATCTCCTTTCAATCTCATTCCATCATTATCAATATAATATAAATGTTATCCAGATAGATCAGATCCTGCAATCATACAACCCATAGAGAGACCAGAATTTTTGTAACCAATTAGAATTCCTTAGAGGAATTTAGAGGCTGCTGCAACACTCAATTTACTACCATTTTTTAATTCATATGTTCTACAATGATTAGCTAAATATGCCAACCAATATTAACAATCAGCTGCACCTCCAGCCATAGTACCTTTTATAATTTGAATTATATATAGATACCTAATAGATATTCATTAATTTCAATCACTTTTCTTACTTGTTCACTACTCAAAAAACTACCCATACTAGCTCTTGAATCAACTGCCAAAAGAATTCCTTCTTTAAATACAAATCCTAATGTTGTTGTTCCATGTTTGAAATTATTTAATTTATTTCCTCCATTTGTTTATGTTGGACCATTCAAAGTTCTATAAATTACTTATGGTGCACTAGGCATTTATAAAGTATTGATTTCATCTTTGTCTTCCTTTTAATATGTATGAGCTAATCCAAATGTTGAAGGGTCGAAATCAATCATTTTAATATTTTAATTAAATAATCATCCTTATCTCAAGAAATATTATTAAATATTAGTTAATGGTCTTAGTTACAAATTGTGTTAAAATTGAGAATTAAATTACACATATATTTTAAATATATATACTATTTAATATGAAAAACAATCATCATCGAAGAACAAAATCAAGTGGAAACTACTTTCCCATTTAATCTGAATTTCTTGTTTAAGATGATGATGATGATACCAATGAAACGAGAGCTATTATATAAAAAATATAACAATAACCTATTCTACATCATTAGATTGTTGAAAAACTTGATGATTAAAATTATGGATTGTTCAATACTATGTTTAATTTTGGTTAAATGAAGTATAAACCAAAACAATCTTTAGACTTGAGCACAATTACAGAGTGCAGTTGTAATCAATTCACTTATTCTTAGCTACACCCTCGACTAAAGATGCTTAACCTAAACATAGAAAATGTGGAAGTCAATAACAATAAGTGAACAAATAACCTATACGTCATCATCATAGTCAAAGTCTCTAAATCCATCGACTTGAATAAGAATTGGAATAAATGAAGGTATAATAGGCTGAAATATAAAATGTTAATGTAATGCTTATTATTGAAATTCATAAATCGAGATAAGAGCTTTAGATATCTTAATAAGTAAATTATAATATTAATATTAGAAAAATGAAAACATACTATAAAGAATAAGAAAACTAGAAAAGATGTTGAAAGATGATTAAAAATTATCATGTACAACTAACGACAGTCTTGAATTTTCCTGAGAAAAATACTCATTTTTGTTTAACATTTATTTAAAATCAAATTCTAATAGGAATTCAGTTTCCACTTTATATTTTCTAATTTTTCATAAACAGAACATTTATTTGTTGAAATCTTTTATTTAGAATAATATTTGTGAATCCTTATAAATGAAAGTAAAAATTGTAATAATCATAATAATATATCATTATCTACTTTAATAATGTATTACAAAAAGAAAGAACGTTAAATTAATAGACAATTAATTATACTTTCTTAAATAATGACATATCTAACAACAATTCATTAAGACTAATATTAATAGGCACATTCAAAATATGATTTCTCTTTTTCCTTTGAATAATCTTGTTAGCCAGATGGCAAATTTGGAATTTTGGAACTCTCTGTTACTCCAAAAATACTCAGCGTTTCTGATTGAAGTATTCCATGGAAATCACTTATTTATACATTTTCAATTTAATTCTTAATCTCAATAATTTCCTAAATCAATTAATTGATATCATACATTAAATGCATAGTTTCTATTATAAATTTTATCCCATAAAAATTCATCATTATTTTAATAATGTAAAATTAATTGTTCTTTTAGTTTATCCAAATTAAATCTTTGTTATTCAATTAATTATTGAATTTATTCATTTAATTTTATTACACTATCAGTACCTTAATTATAGAATAATAATCCATCTACACAACCAATACTTTTAAAACTAACCTATATTGCTTATTATTATTCAAAATGTAATTATAACAATAATAAAGCTGCTAATGTTAGATAATCTCTTTATCCAACAGAAAAGTATTTTACTACAGCATTTTATTTTTATTTAGCTGGTAATTTGATTATATGAATCAAATTCTTTTCTATTTATAAAGTTTTCGTAAGAGTTTCAATATCATTAGGATGAAACTCCTACACTAATTATTTTGCATTTTAAATATCAATATTCCCACTGATAAATGCAGTGTATTTAATATCTGAAAACATATCAGTTAAAAATTAAGAGAATTCATTATATTTTAAATCCTAAAATTCTTTTATTATATCTGCTGGATCATTTACAGGTCTTAACATCAATTTTGGTAACCAATATTGAATTAAATAAAATTGAGTTTTTTAAAAGTAATATTCTTAAAACTAACTTCTTAAATCTTCTTTTATACTTTAAAACTTAGATTCATCTTTTATTTATTTTAAATTTTATAAAACTTAGTTTTTAACTGCTTCAAATGTTAGACTCCATCCTGATAACATTAATGATAAACCTTTTAAGCTACTTTCTACTTAAAAGTTGAAACCAGCCGAGATAGCTTCCAAATTAGATTATTCAATATACATTTAAGCCACTTTTAAAATTGCCTTAGATTTTGCAATGCTATAACCATTTATTGGTTTGTAGAATAAAATACCAAGAAACACTCTATTTGTACTATTATCGTATTGCCACCACAATTCTTAAGATATCTATAATGGAGTTAAATTTGGTATTAAGTAATTTTTTTAAGATTGATCTAAATCTAATGGAATATAAGGAGTAAGAGGTTTATAAACAGGTTCTATATCGTTTGGAGATTCACTCATGAGTAAGGGTTCTGATAAAGTAATATTAGCTTGAAGAATTTAATAAGTAGTGTAAAAATTATAATTTGGCTATTCAATAGGAATATATTAAGAGAGATTAGGTAATTTTAACTATGAAATTAATTATTCATCTATAGTAGAAACAGTTGTATAATCTAACATAATATTAGAGTATTCAATTGATTGTACTTTTTTATTAACAAAATTAGATTTTAAGAACTCATCTGTGTTTAAAGTCTTTAATTCTTGATAAATATATTATCCTTATTAAATAATAATGACTCCAGATTAAATATTATCAATAATCGAATTTAAATCCTTCTTGGAAAATTCTTTATCATCAACATACTTTTGATAGAGAATTTATAAATTGTAAAAATCTTTATGACAATTTAATAATGTTTTTTCATTCTATCTTTTTAAAAATGAGCCAAAATTATAGATGGCATTAGCTAATGTAATGCTATCGGCATTACATTCTTAAATATTAATTGCCAAGAAATCAAAATCTAGAATTTCAAATTAGCATTTAAGAATTGTTTGTAGAGAATTTTATGTTTTTAACAATAACAAATGTTTAAAAAATTCATCTTGCTTTGTTGGATATATCAAAATTGTTGATGTTAGATTGGAATTGATTCTAATTTGATTATATAAAATAGGCTCTAGATCCCAAGTATCAATAATGGATGTTCCGAATTCTTTTTACAATAATTAAGTATCAGAAACTATCATATATATTTCTTAATTTGAAAGTGCAGATTCTATTGTCAATCTAAGTGGATTGGAAACTAATATTAACTCAATGTAATTTTATAAATCTTATATCTACATTGGTTCTGTCATAATTTCATTATTTAATGATATTGCATCTAAGACTCTATCAATTTTAGAAATGAGATCAAAGTCATTAATTTCAATTTCTTCACTATTTATATTATCCAAATCATCTTAAGTATATTCTCTTACAAGTGAATCAGCAAATTTTCTTATACAAGTTTCCATTAATTCGTTTTTAAAGTGAATAGTTATAGTACTCATGTAGGGTCTTTCAATTAATTATGCTTAGGAACACTATTGTTTCAGTAATAAATGCATGAATAATGTATTATAATCATCATCATGATAACCATGATAGATTACAAATTACAAAGTGGCAATATCTACTAATTTTTCTTGAACAATCAAGGTTAATCCATTCTTAAATTACCAACCTTATAATTATCCTTCATTCCATGGTTCAGCTTCAAATATTAATTCTTCAAAATGTTCTTCTTCTGGTTCTGGGATAATGTTATCAAATTAAGTAACATCTTCCGGACTAGTTAAAAATTGCATGATGTCTTAATCTTCTTTATCTAAAACTACAGTATTATCAATATCATCTATATTTTCTATTTCATTAACTTTCAATTATTAGATTTAAGGGATCTAAAACGATTATTTATGATTGGCCAAAGCATACTTAAAGAGTAAGTAAACTAATAAAATTAGTATGATCAGTTGAATTATTTAACAAATAGTGGAGAGTATGCCACGTGTTTCAGGATCTTTAGGTTTCTTCACTTATTGATGTACTAATCCTTAAGTTTCTTCATCCATTTGCATTAATTAAATGTTTAATCCATTTCGATATATTGCTGATTTTCTACACTTGGTGTCATTTCTGATACTCATATTAAAAATACGCAAAACAAGGAATTGTTTAGGTAACTGATGAAATAATGTAATAGGATTATCATACAGAACTTAAGAAATCTATCTTGCAGTGTTCTGTGTTAGATATATTGATCTATTCATGTATTTTGTATCAGTGTACAATACCTCAATGAAATTACTTTACATTAGCAGCACTGTGTTCATAATTTACCTTATGAAGTTCAAGAAACCATATTGTCTAGTATTTAATATTTCTAATATATAGTCTTATGATTCAGCAAGCGATGACTTTCCACACTATAAATTCATCTACACTGGAGCAGGAGTCTTGGCTCTACTTGTCCATACAGATTTAGGACCATTTGAATTAGGATGGTCATATAGTATTTGGTTAGAAGCATTAGCAATTATACCACAATTACATATGTTACAAAAGATCAAAGATGTTAAATATCAATTATCATAATTAGGTTGAAAATATTACATCCAATTATGTGGGAGCTTTGGGAGTTTATCGTTTCTTCTATATTGTTAGTTGGATTTACAAATACTCATTAACTGGAGATGTTTGTTGGACATCACTTTTGGGAGGAATTGTTTAAACTATCTTATATGCAGATTTCCTTTACTATTACATCATTAGTCTAAAATCAGGGAAAGGTATGTCTTTAGGAGTTTGAGATTTGTGATTATTACAATATTGAAAGCAGTTTAAATTAATACCCTTATAATTATCATTCTTAAGAGATTGCACATTTCATTTATTACACATTTTTACTATAATACTTACGTGGCAATCTGGAAATCATAATTAAAAATCTAGAATTAATAAATTTAATCAAATTAATCTACAAACACATTTCTTTTCAAATTCGAATAGCCTACCATTTTCCAATTTAACTAAAACTTTTTTCTTTTCTTTCTTTTCTACAAACTAACCAAATTCTCCCTTAAATTCTCCTTTTATAATGCAAACCCTTCCTCCTTTTTTTGGAAGTGTAACTTTAACATCCTTTTCTTTCAAATCTTCAATTAGTTCTCCATGAGAACCCAAAGCACAAAAAGTATACTCATCTTAAACATCAGATATTGAAATATTTTTATTATAGAATTTGCCACCCTAATAATGCTTATTCTTAACCTTAACTACAATGCCTGATGTTATCCATTTTAATTATTTCTGAGATTTACTTTTTGATCTACTTCTACTTTTCTCTTCTTTGTATAATTTAGCATCTACCACTTAATCAGCAGCAATTTTTATTTTTTCTCCATTATTTTTTAATTCTACTAAATACATATCACTTTATCCTTATATTTTAATAACATTCACAATAACTCCTTTCATTTTTTTATATTTTCCACTTATAATAACTACATCTTAAAATTTTTCACTTTCTTGTTTATCCTTCTCACCTATATACTTATATGTTTTCATGGGATTCACTCCTAAACCTTCTCTGTCTCCTCTTGATTGAAATTCTATTGGTTTTAATAATGCTGTATTTTTATGTGGATTTCTGCCTATAGGTTATCCTTCTTGAAAACCCATTTTTGAAAGTAAATTTTAAGCAAATTAAGAGACAGGAGCTTTGGTGTATGTTTCTTCTGTATTATCAGGTTTGCTTGATAAAGTGAAATTTTTTCTTTCTTCAACTGGTACATCATTTATCATCTTTATAAAATAATATTTATGCTTTATATGAAAACTTTATAATAATTATTATTACTTATTTTTCAACCTAAAAAATATTAAGAAGATATGCCATCGTTTAAAACTTTGTAATTCTTATGAATAATACTATTTGAATAGATATATTTTACAAATATATATATATTGTATATATTTCTATCTTCTACTTAAAAAGATTTGAAAAAACTAAAATAAAAAAAGGAGCACAAATATAAATTAATTTTCAATATTTTTCCACTTTCGGTTATTATTTTTTACTTGGTTATTAGACTTACATTGCCATCATTTCTTACATTTCTTACATTTATTATTATTATTGTTATTGCATTCTTTTCATTTCTTCTCTCATTTACATTTTAAGCATTCCTATTTCAGCCAATTATATGAATCCCAAGATTATGCCTCCAAATATAGCATTTCTAACTGCAATTCTTGTGCCAGCTACAACTATAATTCAAAGGCTATACCTCTAATGGCTAAAAATCCTCCTGTAAATGCACCAGCAACTATGGGATTAATAAAATCTTATTGGTTTCTCAGATGCATAAGAGTACAATCTGTGATACTAAACAATCCTCCCCAAAGTGCAAATGATCCTCCTAAAATTGGGGCTCTTCTTTTTAATAATTAGATTCCTCCAAAAAATCTTTCCTTCTTTGGAGCAAATGACATGCCTTTTAAGAAATAGAATATGCATCCAGCAAAGCATCCCATTGAGAAAGCTCCTCCAAAATCATCAATGATTCTGTAAGGACAAGGTTATTCACGCATAGCCATCTTAATTCTGGTTAAAATTTATTAATTAAATGTTAGTCATTGATAAAATAATTAAGTAATAGTAATAATGGAAGGGGATCATCATCTTTTGTGAGCTAAAGTTCTGATTCTACAATCAGTACGAATTCTACTATTAGATCTTAGAACAGGATTGCTAGGTTCACTCTTTTTCTTTTGATGGCAAATTATTTGTTTATGCTTCCTATGATTATTTCGGTTTCTATAATAATCCCAAAATTAATCATAATTTTAATCTTGGTTTATATCATATATTTTTGTAAAATCTGGCAAATTTTATAAAGGCAAAATTTTTTTGAATTTATAGAAATGTAGCTTTATCTTATTGACTAATTTTTGAGTTTCATTAGCTAATTCTTATTCAGATATATATTCTCTTCTTTTTGGATAAGTCTCAAATCGTATTTTATAGAGCATCTGTAATTAATCAGTGGGAGATAATTTATCATAATCTCCAAGATGAATTCCCTTAAGCAATATCTCATCATTATCAAACACATCATGTTCTGAGCCAGATGAATCTGAATCTGAATTTACTTCTATTGGGACAATCTCTTATTCCTTAGGTTTTTTAAACAAATTATTCATAAAATCGGAGCCAATAAATTTAATAGGTTTCAATCTAATGTTCTATAACCTTGGTGAAGTTTTTTCTGAATCCAAAGTCGAGGTAGATGATTTTCTTGAATTCATAAATAAATTTTATTTCTGAAATTATTATTATAATAATCTCATTAAGAAAACTAAATTCTTTATAATAATAATTTCATTTTCTTTCAATAAAAATCATCATTCATTTTTCATCACAATTTGCATCATAACAAAAAGTTCATGTTTAATTAATTTGATAATTTTAATAAGATTCAATAATTATAGATAAAAAACTAAATAGATTAAATAGAAAATTGATGAATATTCTCATTTATTATTGATTATATATGAATTTATTTTTTAAGATGATTTATTATTAAAAAATTACATATATAATATTATAATGATAGATATATGTTATTATACATATTTATTATTTTAATATATATATATTTATATAATATTGAAATGTTATTGAACAATTTATTCAAAAATCTTTCAATTAGATTCAGATATTTCTTAATGTATTTGTGTATTTAAAAATTCTAATTTTAAAATTCCATCATATTTTTTAAAGAAAATTAACTTGAACTTGATTTTTTAATATAATTAATTAGTTTCTATGTAAAAATAATTTATACCTTTCACAAAAATTATTAATAAAAATTGTATTCAAGTTTTAGAAGATAACAATAATAAATATTCAAAAGAAATTAAATTATAAAATATAATTATAATTAATTAATACTGCAATAAATTTATAAAAATATTATAAATTCTCAAGGATTTAAAATTAATTTTAAAGGAAAACGAAGGCGAGATATGATAATTATAGAAATTATTAAAGATTAAATATGTTGAGTATTTAATATTAATTGAATATTTCAAAATTAGTTTCCCTGAATTTATTGAGCATATTTAAAGAATTCATGATTGACAAATTCAGTAGCAGTAATTCTATTATATTCTTCTGCCAGTCCCCCTTCTATTAAATCTTTTAAATTCTCTAGTAATTCTTTTGGTGTATTTTCTCTTATTAATTACTAATCTACTTTCTAAATAAAGTCAAGTTGCCAAAATAGATCAGGCTGATTTATTAATAGTTAATAATATTGATCATCCTTAGTGGGAAACTATCCCATAATTGGAGGTCTTTTGTAAATAGCAAGAAATAGGGCTGTTGTTAAGGCATAAACATCTGCACCAAACAAGCAAAATTCTTGAAATTCTCCATCTTCAAGATTAAGTCTAAAATTGACAATCTCTGGACTTGAATAAGGAGTAAGAGTTCTGGGTAACCATTTTGTAAGGAGATCTTCAAATGAAGGTCTGTAGCTGAAGCCAAAATCTGCCAACTTGACACAGTTTCTACTAACAACAAGCATGTTTTCAAGCTTGATATCGTTGTGTGCTATATATTAGGAATGTAAATATTCAAGAGCAATAGAAATTTAAGTAAAGTACTTGATTATAATTTTGAGTGATGTTTCATTTGTTTTACAAAGCGTATGGAGATCACAGGTGGCATTTTCAAGGAATAGACTACAACATTATAGGTTCCCTCCTGCAGGATCTAATTGATGATGAGGGATGAATTATTATGGTTTAATTATGTTTGGATGATTGAGTTAACTCAATATTTTCCATTCATTTTATAGATCTTAACATTCTCTTTAATGAACAGTATTACAAGTACTGTCATCTTCAATGAAAAGTTGTCCATGAAACACAGATTTAATGACTACGGTCTAGTGAACTTATAATAAAACTTTACATCAGATGCTCCTACTCGACGGTGGATGTAAGAATTGTTGCCTTGTTGAATTAAATAGAGATGATCTGCTATCTAGTTGATTTACTGCATTTATATTTTTATATATTATAAATGTATATTTTTCATTCTTCTTCTTTTTTTTCCTCTTTTGGTCCTTAAACGACAATCAACAAGAATTCCTTATCTGGAGCTACCATTATTTCATTATTCTTAGACTTTATACGTAGAAACGTCAATTCATTCATAGGATCTAGGTCTCTAACAGTTGATCTGCAGATGAATTTGAGTAACTTACTTGGCTTTGGCTGCTAAAGTTGGAATTGTTCTTGCAATATTTTCACCTTCTTTGCTCTCAGTTCCATAAGTACTGCGTATGATTTGACCATCATTATTACAAATAACTATTCCTTATACTGATTTATGGGTTTTGATTCTATTTATTGTTTCTTCTATGTCAGACATTATTAATTATAAAAATGAGAGCAACTTTATTTTAGTAATTAAGAAAAACTAGAGCTGAATCTGCTAAAGTTGGAGTGAATAGAAATAAACAAATTCTGGATACTTCGGAACTTATTGGAAGATAAAGTTTTTATAGAAAAAGACGACTTGAAGACCCAAATTATTCTTTACTTGAATAACCAAGTTCATTTCGATTTCATGATAAGGAGAAATATGAATAAGAAATCAAATATCTAAAAAACAATTTACATTCTTTAGAAAGTGAAAATCTTAAATTAAGAACTAAAATTCATTAATTAGAAGGTAAGCATCTTCAATATTAAAATTAGATAATTAATTAAAATAAGAGAAGATGTTATAGGAATTAGATCGAATAGGTCCTGTAAAAACTTAATTATTAAAATCTATGAATTATGCAACTGCTTTAAATGCATTAAAAAAAGAATTAAATAATATGAGAGTGGAATTACAAAAAAAAGATTAAGAACTCATAAATATGAAAAAAAATTAAAGATTGACTTAAATAAATGAATTATAAATTGAAAGAACTGCTTTTTAAGAAGAGACAGTTAGATTAAGATAATAAATTGAATAATTATTTTAAGCTAGTTTATATAATTTACAATAGAATAATGTAGAATAAGCAATTCAAGAAAGATTATTTAAATTAATAGCATAAATATAGGAGAATGCAATTTAAAAAAGTGAATAGGAAAAAATAATTGAAAGACTTAAAAAAGAATGTTTGAAATATAGAGTAATAAATTGTATTATTTATTTTAGTCTTAATAAATAGAATAAGAATTTAAAAGCAAAAAGGAAATTAAGAAATTAATAATCTAATTAAAGGAAGAAACAAATAATTCTTAAAAAGAAAATAGTAAAGAAATCTAATAATAAACTAAACCAGATGAATTGTAATTATTAACAGATTTAATGTTTACAAAATAAGAAAATTAAGCTAAATAGAATGAAATAAATAAATTAAATCAAATTATTTTCGATCTCGAAACTCAAATTAAAGAACTAACATTATTATAAAAATCAGAAACATAAGAAATCTAACCATAGTCTCAAAGAGTTGATATATCGACAAAATCAAAGATAACAAAAGTCTAATCTCCAGTTTTTGCTACTGAAATTATGTAAGAAATAGCCTTACCTATAAAAAAATCAGTAGTGATCTAAGAGGAAATCTAAAAATAAGTGAAGTAACCTTAAAGAAGAAAAATTATACCTATAAAATTTGAAGAAATTAAAAATATAGGAGAGACTTTGAAATATAAATTGATGGCTATGGATATAAGTATTTCATAATTAGACGAATATTTATTTGACGGAGACTCTATGACTTTGAAAGAATTGAAAGATAAATTAAGGCAATATCCTTTTAATTTAACAAGTGAAGAAGCTCATATATTATCTCGTTATATAATGGAAAGTGAAAATGATATTTACGAATTGTAGGAGACTGCCTAGAATTATAATCCTTATATTCGTTCAGTTTTAAGGAGAATATTGGCAAATTATAAATTAGAAATAGTGAAAAATTAATTGCTGCATTCTGAAAAATTAAAAGATGTTTTAACAAAATTTAAACCATTTATTTTAAGCAATATTAAATAACTTTATGGGAAAGATTGTATAAGAGTAAGTAAATAATAATTTAATGAAGCATTGATGTCATTAAATATAGAATTGAATTAATTTGAATTGGACTATTTGATAATTTAAGGGATTTTGGAAAGTAAGGGAGTTGAATCATTAAATTATGAAGAGATGCTCAAATATGAGATTAAGGAAGTTTAAGATTAACAACTCTCTTTTTTATTGACTGAATTAAACAATTAATAAAACCAAAAAATTGAAATGTCAGTTATTGAAGAGTGTCCAGAGAAACTTTCAGAACTTGATTAATTAGAATAAGTAGATCATAAATAAGAGAAGATAATAAAAGAGTAATAATAAAATGGAGATGATCAATATGTTACATTTGATAAATATGTGAGTGAATAATTTGAGTCTGAAAGTGAAGAATCAAAATAGGAAATATTGACATCAGCTTTTAACTTGGAACAATGAAAATTATTAAAATTTTGATATTATATAAATTAAATAATACTTATTAATGTAAATTAAATGAATTTTAGATTCTAGTTTGAAGAATTTCCAAAAAGTATATGTATTTTAAGAATTCAAATTCCATACTTAATACTATAGTGAATTAATTCAATTAGTAAATAATTGATGTGATATTAATTAATTTGAATATATAAAATATATTATTATATTTATGGATCCAATGAATATTCCAGCTGCAGGATCAAGACCTTAAAAATAGACTCTAGATTAAGCACCTTCTGTTAGATAAAAGTATATTTTTTAAAATATATAATAGTCAACAATAACGATCAGATATCTTTGGTGTTAATTCAGGTCCTGTGGTCTAAACTCCTAGCAGACAATAGTAGCGTGCTAAAACTGATATTTTTGGTGTTGAATAGAGTGCAACTTAATCACTTGCTTAATCAAGAGTTGAAGTAAGATATTATTCTAATTTCTAGACAAGATAGACTAATACTTATTAATCAAATATATTTTAAGTAGATCCATCTTCTAATAACACACATACAGCTAAAGAGACAATTAAAACATAAAATAAAGGAAAGAATACTTAAGCAAGACATTAAGATCATGGAAAAGATTTTTTATTTGGAAAAAGCGGTATTTTAAATTAATAATTAACTTATTAGATTTTGATGAATATAAATCAATTAAAAGAACATCTACATTAAAGGAATTCAAACCAAAAGAGGAATATGATCCAGCTAATAGAAGAGTTAAAGAATTATATGGAAATGAAATTGGTAAAGAACATTTACCAACATAAAAAGTTTAATTAGAAGAAAAAAAAGAAACTGTTAAAAAATAATAATAATAAGATGTTGATCCATCATAAAGAAAATAATTAGAAAACTCATCAAATGTTTTTGGATAAAATGAAAAAAAAGCTTATTAATAATAAGGTAAGTAAGAAAAATTAACTTCCCAAAATTAAAAATGGTCTACTACTAGTAAGGCAGTTGATAATAGTGGTAAGAATTATGATCCAGATACATTTGCAAAGAATAAAAAAGAAAAAGAATTGTAATCTAGTGTATTTGGTGATGAATCAAAATAAACACAAAGTACAGCTGCAAAATAGAAATTAATTCCTACAAATTAAACATGGCAATAAACTGATACTGTTAAGAATATGAAAGATTTCGATCCCTCATAATCATAATTAAATGAAATAGATCCCTCATAAAAGAAAATAGATACATTAAAATCAGCATTAGATACTCATGATTATAAGGCATAACCTGTTAAACATAATGAAAAGCTCAGTGTGAAATAATAGAAATATAAAAAGGACGTATTTACAAGAGGAGGGGATAAAGATTAAGCCCCTTCTCAATAAAAATAAAAATAACCAGCTTAATAATAATAACAATAGAAAGAAATACATGAATAATCAGATATGATTTGAATTATTGTATGAATTATTGTGATTATCCTCTATTTTTTACTTTATTTATCTTTTCCTTATTTATTTACTATTATTTTACTATATTTTCTTAAATCAATAACAATTATAAAAACCCAATCTTTAATTATTGTTCTTTTATACATTCTCTAGAAAATTCTGTATTAATTATCAAATAATATATAATATGTTCAGAATTAAATTATATTTATAAACTCTTATTCAACAATAAAGCAAACAGATAGAAAAAATTTAAGATTGTTTAGAGAGATTAATTTAATTGCTAATGAATATTATAATAATTAGTATTTAAGTGTTAAATGAATTCATGAAATACTCAAAAGATAAATAAAAGGAATGGCATAATATTTTAGATAAGGTATAAAAAGAGTTATCAATAAAAGCTTTAGAAGATAAGGAAGTAAATTTAAAGGAATTTATGTATCTTAAAATTCATAAGAAATATCAGTAGAACTTAAAAAAAAAAGTTCAAAAGTGTGAAATTATCCAGAATTAGAATAAGCATAGAGAGAAATTATAGTTAACATAATCATATTTTTAGTTATGTTTTATCCTTGAAGTAATGTAAAAAATGAAATATAATTAGATTGCAATTAAACTAATAGAATTTTTTGAAAATCTACTTTTATTAATAGAATAATTAAAGGAAACTATTGATTACAAACTATTTATTTCATCAATAAATAAAAGCTATGAATCCTATTTAAATTTGAGTTGTTTTAAAGGATGATTAATATAGGTTAAATAAGAAGTATAATATGAGTTACATTTTAACTTGATTAAGTGTAATAGATTATTTTTTCAACAGAGTAGAATATAATGTATAGTGTGTAATAATGAAATACACTAAATAATGATACTGAATATAATATAAAATAGCAAAGGGTATGAATAATCATTTATCTTTTAATATTTAAAATGTCACTTCAATTTATTGGGCTATTTTATCAGCAAAATTCCAATTTTTCATTTGTCTATTGAATATTTTTAATAAATTACCTTCTAAATTCTTCATTTTATAAACAATCTAACATTTTGATACATACAGGATATCTGATGTATTTCAAAAATTCAGGTCTCTTAAAGTATTATAAGTATTCTAAGTAATTGATAAATTGATCATCTTAAAAATAATCTTTTATTGCAAGCTAATGAATATAAGAGGGACTGGCCAACATTTAAACAAATTCAAGGTCCATTTGAAATCTCTTATAATCATCATAAATTTTTTACATTAAAATAATTTATGTTGACTTAAATTACAATAACAAACTAGGAAGCAAAATAAGTGATGCCAGGATTGAATTTGAAAATACTAGAATTTAAAAACCCATAAGGACTAATTCAAAAAATGAATGAATTGAAATTAACAAAACATAAATAAGTGTAAGTGATGAATATTGGATGTTTAAAAGACCTATACTTGATTGATTTAAGTTAAGAAATGATCGAAAGTATAGTTAAATTCATTTGAGTAATAACTTTTCAATTTCCTTTTTCAAGTTTCCCTTCTTTAATTCTTATAGCAATATTTTAGTACAAGGATAGGCCTCTAAAATAATGGACATGTCTTTGTCATCAACTTTCAACATTTCTCGAATTTCTAAATCTATTAACATAATTTTCTATTAGTACATTATGATTATTCACTTCTCCTCCTTGTCTACATCAAAGGGACTTCTTACTGATCTATAAGTCTACGTTTTCTCTTAAAATTTATGTATTTGTGATCTTCACTTTACTTTTTGATTTCATCATAATCTAGAATACTATTCTCTTCTAAAGGTATATCCTTTATCATTTTAAGATTTAGTTTCACCTTTGTCCCTTTTACAGAAACAGCAATGTCATGAGATATTATTTATTAAGATGGATTCTATTCCTAATTTTAAATTGGTGGAGTTGGTTGGGGTAATGTTTGCATTTAATGTTGTTAATGTGGTATCATTGGAATTCTCATAGATGTCATTTGTGGTAGTTGTTGCATTTACTGCATTTATTACAATTGTTGCATCATCATGTAGTAAGGTGGATAGTTCATTAATGGTGGTCTAAAACATTATAAGAGTTTATAGTAATAAGTATATTGGGTATATATTATAGTAAATAAGAGGTTGATGCTTACATAAATTGTGGATTAGGATAAATCATAGGAGTTTATGGAGTTTATTATACTGGAGCATAAACTGGAGGTTTAGCTTTAAGCATTGCCAAGTAATCTTATTGTGGGAAGCTCATTTTTGAGTTATTTAAATATATCTGTAAGAATACATATTCAGATTCGATATTTAGATTTACAAAAGATTTTGTGGATAGAAAAATCAGATCATTTGTGACCTAGTCAATAGGTTTCTAAGTTCAATTTATAATTAACTGAAAAAGATCAAGAAAGAAATCTAGTTACAATAAGGAACCATTTATCTATAAGTTATATATCAAGAGATCTCTTGATAATATATAAATGTAAAAATCTCATTCTCCAGAACCTCGTCGTACAAATAGCAAATATTCATCATTCCCTTTCAAATTACCAATAAATAACATTGCACTTCCTTCAACCAACAGCCATGTATAGTCTGATTAGGGTAGAAAGGTGCTAATACATGTAGGATAACAATCAAGCAAAAAGATTAAATAACTTTTACAAGTTAATACAAGACCACTTATAAATCCATCAAAAGTTTAAATTGACATTGAAAAATTACAAATCATAATGAATGGGAAATATGAGAAAAATATCTCAAATACTTCTTATTCAATTTAGGTTGAAAATACTCTTAAAGAATTTCGAACAAAGATAGAGGAATAAGATAGTCTAATTAGATTGTAGGAATTCAAAATTAATAGGTTATAACAAGAGTTATTATTCTCAAAATAATAATATTAACGCATGATGTCAAAATTTACATAGCTTGATGGTAAATATAACAATTATCCTCAATCAACTAAATTAACAAAATCTTAAATTAGTATCCCATAAATTGAATAAATGCCTTAAATAAATAAACAAATATAAGTAGATAATAAGAAGAAAAGAAACATATAAGAGAAAATTAAAGGACTTGTTTTAGAAAATAAAAAATTTAAAGATGAAGTTTAAAATAAATTTAAGGAAGTACTTAAACTTGTAAATGAATTTGCTATAGCTGTAATTTGTTAAGCATCATCAGTTTACATGTAATAAATACAATCTATAGAATCTGTATATGAAATGCATAACAAGTAATTTGAACTTAAATCATAGTTTTACAAAAAATGATTATCAAGGTATGAGAGCTCAGTATGATATTTTGAATAGGGAAATCTAATTACTAGAATAGTAAAAGGAAATATTATATGATAAAGTAATTTCATTACTTTGAAAAATTATTATAATTAATGAACGACATATAACCAGCTCCAAGTCTTGTTAAATATAGTAATCCAATTCTCATTTCAAACAGTCAAAAGAAATAAATTAAATAACAACCTCCAAGCAATACTGAAGATATTTTGAATGCTATTCTACTTCCAAGAGAATTTAATCATTAGAAGAATCAATTGTAAATGTAATGTGTTTCTCCTGCACCCTCAACCAAACAAGATGTGCTTGAATTATAAGATAAATTAGATAAATGGTTATAATAAAGATAGGCAAGAGAGACTGGTCTATGTCCAATTAGAGAGGAGTTATACTCATAATGTTTTGATGAATTAATAAGACAAATTACAATTAATTGTGCAGAGAGAGGTATGCTTTTAGTAACAGTCAGAAATGAAGTAAGAATGGTTATTCAAACTTATTAAACATTATATGCATCAAGTATAGCATTTGGAATGAGAAAATTTTTATCAGAAGAAGAAAAAAAAGTATTCAAAAAATATTAAATTAGGCTGAATATAGATTAAGAATTAAATAATTAGAATAGGAATGTTCAGAATTACATAGACAAGTTGAATCTTTAGAATAAAAATTATTGGATACAAAATAGTAAGATGAAATTAAAAGATAATAAACTAAAGAAGCACATGCAGATATAGTATCATAATTAAAGGCTGATATAAAAGCAAAAGTAAATGGGGATCTTGAAAAAATACTCACTGGATAAAAAAAATTACCTGATAAGAAATGATGATGATATTTAACATTATTTTCATTATTTTATATTTGATAATGTATTTAATGAAAATAATAAGTATCCTGATAATAATATATTTAGAAATTGTATATTTTATGTTTTGTTCATAATATCAATAATCCTAACATTGCAATTAAGACTTTGAATATCATTGCATTTGAACTTTCATCATCGTCACAAGAGACTCCTGAACAATTTTCTGAATTGTAAGTAAGTACTTATTCTTATGATGGACATGCACTAGAAGAAGTCTCTTTAATGCAAGAAACAGAGGTTGATCCAACAACTGAAGGATCATCTGCTGCTTCTTACAACATTCTAGCGGCTGTTGTTTCTCCCAATGAGGCATCAGAAGCTATGGTTACTTTATTACCCAAGAAGTTTAGTTTAAGTTAATACATTTATTCACCATTTTATCCTTTATCCAATTTTTTAGGTTTGACTGTCTTTGATACTCCATCAGCAACTACTGTAATTTCAGCATCCATGGGTTTCCATTTACCTCCTTTAAATCCATCTTAAGTAATTGTTTATTTAACATAAATGGTTTCACCTACTACTAATTCAGTTGTATTGAGTGGTGTTTCACAAGCTTCATCAGAACATAATGTCAATGTAGATTGAGCAGTATTGACACATTTTTCACCAGTATCATCAGCACAAACTTATTCAGCTTGTACTTTTGGTTTGATTTCACTTGATTTAAGGGTTGCTAAATCTTTGCTAAAAATAGCTGAGAATTTAAAAGCAAAGAAAGCCAAGGGTTTTACTCCATTATCATTTGGTAATAATAATGTCACTGAAATGGCATAAAATCCAGTGTATTTGATCTCATCATTAGATTCGTCCTTCAAAAATAATGTATCGAATTAACTAACAATATAAAATTTAAATACTCTTTATTAACTGTAAAGACCCAGCTTCTTGAGGTGTCTTATGCGGTTGAGGTAATTACAGAAGCATCAGCTACTTCATTTGTAAAAGCAGCTCCAAATCTTCTCAAATTAACCTGAATACATGTAGTGGTTGATCCAGTTTCTACAGAAGTCTAGAAATCTTTGGCATTAGCAAATGTCAATGAGAATTAAAGATTTCCATCCTTTAACTCAATGGCAAATTTGGGTCTGTTGGCTATATGTTTCTTTCCGTTAGCTTAAGTCTGTTTAAAGAATCCAATTTAAGTCTTGCAATTTTTAGCATCTTTGCATTTTCCTTTTACTAATACTTGGTCATCTGTGCAAGTGGTTGCTGTTTCAGCTGTGATAGCAACATAAACTAAGAAACTTAGAAGCAATATATGAAAAATTTTCATGAAAAAAGTATTATTAAATTACTGTCATTTTTTATGGTGTATTTATAGTGCAATTTTATAAAGATATTACATAATTAAAATGAGTATTAATTGTGGATTACGATTGCTTTTCTGGAATACTAGGATTTTTACATTATACTGCGTAATCACTATATAAAATAAAAATTTCAAATATTTATAAATAAAATTTGATTACCCCCCTCAAAATCAATCTTCTAGAATAACTTGTTAAACCTATTTTTCTCTAAATATTATATAAATATAGATAAATGTTTTAATAAAACTTTAATATATTTTAATTTGTTATATGAATGTAGTATAGCATATACATTTAGATTTTTAAACTTGAAGTTCCTATCTAAATAAGCTAAAAACATAATTATACATTAATTTTGTTATATTTTCTCTTGATTATGTATAATATTTAGAAATAATTATCATTTAGTGTTTTCCCTTTTTCTGAAATATTATTCTTCTAAATCACAATAATGACAATTAACGTGAGAATAATGATCAATAAACCAAATGCAAATACTATTTTGAAATCAGATTTTTTGGATTTGGCATAATAAAGAAATATCTATCTCTAATTGATTTATATATTTATATAATAAATAATTTATACATTGTAATCCACATAATTAGTTTATTTGGATTTGATTTAGTATAACACATAATATAATTAATGAAATATTGTACATAATATAGAACATTATTAATTGGAAGTATTTAAACAAAAAAATCTTTATATCCTTATTTATTAATAATTAATAAGTGATGAAGAGTGCAATTCTGATAATAGCTG